AGACCACCCCCCCCCCCTCTCTCTCCAAACCTAAAACAACCAAAAAAACCTGTCAAATTTGTTCCATCCCCTTAAACTATTGAATTTGTCTCATGTTTACCCTCTACAGACTCACACATGCTAATTTAACCTGGGAGCACTATCTGCTAAAATTTCATCTAGAGTATAAAAAGTCACAAAAATGTAAAATGAGTCCATCTTCCAATAAACTACAGGTAGCAAGTTCAAGATGATCGGGGGGTCTATGTGAAATTAAACCAAAGATGTGAAGATTTGAGAGTCCGTCTTACAATTACACGAAGATTGGACACTAATTACCATGACCCCAACACCAACCTCAACCACCAACCATAAAACATCCACCCACCTCCTCCAAATATGAAAAAAAAAAACCAAAACAACCAAAAAACTATCAAATTTGTTCCATCCCCCTAAACTATTGAATTTGTCTCTGTTTACCGCCAGCCCATGCTTCTTCACCACCATTCTGTGCTCGGCCACAATGATGGTTCTATCCTTTCGGCATCACTATAAATATAGGTACTATTCTAACATAGTAAAGATTTCCAAATCTAATCTTCTAAGATAGATCTTCAAATTATATTGTACACACAAGAACACTCACAATTTTTTACTTTTCCTACTCAAGTTCACCAGCTGACTTGACCGTCGAAGGAACCACGGGGGAACCAGTCCCCGTCCTCTCACGAATTTCTATATGTACAGACTTCAGTCACTTAACTCGGAACTAGATATTCGGGGAAGGAAACAGCCACTCATTAACTTCACCCACATCCAACTACGAATATAATTGCTTGTGTGATCACTTAACATCAACAAGAGCAATATCAGCCAAAATTTCATCTAAGAGTATAGAGACAAAAAAATGTAAATCAGGGAGTCCATCTTCCAATAAACTATAGGGTAGCAAGTTCAAGACAATACTATCGTGGGGTCTATGTGCAATTAAACCTAAGATGTGAAAGATTTGAGTGTTGATCATACAATTAAGGCTCTGGACCATACTTCCCCTGGACACTCCACTCCCACCCTTCTCATACAATTAAGTAGGGGTGGGCAATAGGACAAGTTG